TTGCTGAGAAATCCTACCTCCACAAACCTGGGGCCTGTGACTTTAAATGGCAGAACCAGGACCTGAACCCAGCTTATGGGACTCACGTCTCCCAGGGAGTCACAGTGCTGGCTCTAGTCCCCTCGCCCCTCTTGGGCACAGCCCACTGTCCACCTTTCACCCCTGCCCCCATCTCCAGGGCCCCAGAGCTCCTTCTGGGTGGATGGGTGGGCAGGCTTTGCAAGTTACCGTCCACTCTGCGACCCTGGAGGCAAAGACAGCAGAGGCCGTGGAGGTAGCAGTGGGAGGTTGGGGACCACAGGCCCTACTCAGGCTACTCCAGCTCTGATTCTTGGGACTGTGGGCCATGCCACGTCTGAGGCCGCAGAGCCCACCCCAGGGCTGAGGAGGAGATGTCTGTAGGCTGACGTCGTGTTCCTGTACGGAAGGGCTTCCAGCTGCAACCCAGCTGTGAGGCGAACAGCCCTTTCCGGCTCCCAGAGGCTGGGTCTTTCTGTGTCCTCGCACAGATGTTCCTGGTGCCCGAGGGATGACCCCTGTGCCACGTCCTTTTCCTGGAGCAGGGAGAGCTGCTGTGGGTCTAGGGGGTGGGTGTGAGACGAGGTGTGGCCTTCACTCTCCAAACTCCGCTTCCATAGCATGCAGGGGAGGGTGCTGGGTGGGTGACATGTCTGTGAGGGGTGGAAGGAGCAGGGTGGGCAGGGTGCCCTGTAGGAGAGCCCGGCTGTGCATGTCCTGGGTCTTATCCCTGGCCTGTGGCCTGTCCCCTGACCCCCCACATTGTGGAGAACCTAGAAAGGACTCTCTTTTAAGTTCCCTTCCTCCTGAGCACAAATCTCCCATACATCTTCTGTTAACGGGTCACTCATACTCTCAAGCCTTCGATGGCTCCCCAGTACTGAAGCCATAGTGTGCAACCCTGGCTATAGAGAGTCACCCAGAGGGCTTTTGACAACCCCGATGCCCAGGCCACGCCTTTGCTGAGATTCTCATTGGATTGTTCTAGGTGGGGCCCAGACATCTGCATTTTAAAGTTGCTCATGTTTCTCATGGACAGCAAGGTTGTGAACCGCTGACCTGGGGATAAACTTTCTAGGTGACACAGGTGGCTTCCGTAATAGATCCAGCCCAGCAGAATGGCAGAACCACCTCTTATCCCTCCTCATTCTCCCTCCAGCCAGGCCAGCCCCTCTCAGCCCCCATACTCCAGGCACCAGCCTCACCTCTGTGTTTCCCCCATCTGGTCCACATTCTGTCTGTGCAAATCCACCAGGCCTCCATGGCCCAGCGGCACTTCCACACTCTCTGGGAAACCTCTCTAATTGACTTTGCTGTCCCTCTCGCCCCAGCATGTGGCCTGGTGCCATTTCCCATGAAGATGCTTAGGCTTGCTTGCTTAAAAGATCGATGTCCCACAGTTTCCCCTGCACGCACACCTCCTCTCCTCAGCCGCTTCATCTCTTGCTGCTCCTTGGCCAGGTAGCCTTTCTTGTTACCTGTCCCCAGCCATGGAGAGGGTGAGGGCTGTACGTGTACCCCTTTCACTTTTGGAAGTCACTTAGGGACCTTTGGGCCCAGAGGCTAAGATGGGGTTTCTCCCCTTCAAGGCTGGAGGATGAACTCACCCACCCAGTAGGCCCAGGGCAGGAGCGGGTCAGTCGGCGGGAGGAGGTTAATGTGCATCCACACGGCAGAGCCCCAAGAACGCAGCCTTAATGACCCCTGCCATCGGCGCCTCCCAGGCCACTGGTCAGAGCGCTCATACCCTCCCTGCGGGAGGCCTGAGGGGCTGCAGAGAGAGGAGTGAAGCCTTTCCTCTGGTCCTTGGAGGATTGGGAGTTGGCAGGAAGTGGCAGTAAGGGTCCTCCCACCCTGGACATGGATCCTGCCACGTGGGAGGGCCTCAGCGCACCTCAGGCACCATGGAGGGTATCTGCAATGAGCTCTCCTGCTGTCCCCGTTCACCCCTCAGAGCAGGACAGTGCTTGTGATTCCATGATGAGGAGAGGGAGGCTGGGAGGCCGGGAGGCCGGCCATGCCTCTCAGGTGGGAAGTGGGCTCCTGACCCGCAGCCCTGGCTTGCTCGTCCTGTAAGTCAGGTGGAGGCAGTGCCCTTGGCTCTGAGGTTGGATCAACCTGCCCTGGTGCTCAGCGCAGCGGGGTGGTATGTTTGTGTGTTGGGGGGCACACTGACCCCCCACACTGACCCTACCCTGTCCTGTCCTCCAGGCAAAGGCAGCTAAAGAGGTGCAGGAAATGCGGAGGCTGCAGCTGCGGAGCCTGCAGTACCTGGAACGCTATGTCTGCCTGATTCTCTTCAATGCGTACCTCCACCTGGAGAAGGCTGGCTCCTGGCAGAGGCCCTTCAGCACCTGGATGCAGGAGGTGAGGGGAGGCTGAGGCCGAGAGGGCCTCTTTAGCTGCCTCCTGCAGCTGGAGCTGGGCCACAGCCGCGCTGTGCCCGTGACAGGCGGGAAGAGCCTCCATCCGCCTTTCTGCAGGGGGCTTCTGTTTGGCCAAGAGTTTGTCTGATCTGACTTTGGGTCCCGAGCAGTTTGTCTGCGCCTGGCAGGCAGTTGATGAGTTTGATGAATGAACAGATGAATGAGGAGGAGGGAGGGACAGAGTGGTGGGGGACAGAGCAGGGCAGCCTTTGGGACTGGGACCCGGTAGCACACATCAGCACAGCCACCCTTGCGTGGATGGCGGCTCTGGGCACTTCATGCCCACAGTTGTGGTCAGCCCTCACCTGTGCTCTGCGAGGTGGCCCTGCCCCTTTCTCCCTCCAGCCATGGCCTTGTACCAGTGAGCCAACTCCTCCACAGCTGCTGGCCTTAGCACTAACATGGAGGGGATGTGATCCTGTGGGTGCCAGCCCCGAAGGCTGCCGTGGGGACGCGGGGAGACACACAGTGCCATCTGCTGGAGCCTGTACTAGGCGGGTCTAGCACAGTGTGATTGTTGCTCTCCCATTTTGCAGAGACGGAGACTGAGCATAGAGAGGGTGGGTGACTTGTTCAAGGTTGGTATTAGGGCTGACTGATTGGCTCCAGAGCCCACCATATCCTGACCTAAGACACCACCCTCGCTGTCCAGCCTCCTGGATCCTCTCTGTTTGGCCTCCTGGCTCGTCTTCCACTTGGCTGTTTTAGAGGCAGAGCTGCCACCTTGGCACCTCTAGGTCAGAAGAGAGGCCTCCTTCCCTCCTTGGCAAAGCGGCCTGTAATTACTCCTCTGCCAGGAAGCTGGCCCCTCCAGACCTCACCAGCAGATCCTGGCAGTTCTAATCTGGACTAGAGGCTGGAATTAGCTCCTGGGAAGTGGGTGGGTGGAGAGCAGGGGCTGGTGACCCGGCCAGAATGGGCACAGGAAGGGTACGGGGACTGAGGCAGGTGTGAGGTGGACTCAGGACTGTGAAGGAGTGGAGGCAGAGTGGCAGGCTTTGAGGGTGGGCCTCAGGTCGTCAGGTGGAGAAGCATTTGAAATGCCCCCGGTGCATGTGATGTGTGTTGAGTCAGGAGACCTGATGTGGTCACACCAAGGCCATGTCGGGGCCACCCTCTTGAGCAGGCCTGGGCTCAGCTTCCTTTGTGAGCCGCTGGGGAGGGGTGGAGGTGGAAGGGGATGAGGACACTTCCTGCTTGGTTCTGCTTGGAGAGCGGAAGCTGGGGGAATCTGGGGCCGAGAGGAAGCTTGATCCCCTCCCCAGCTGAATCCCCTACTGGGGGAGGTCAAGGAAGGAGGGCTGCCAGTCCAAGCCGAAGTGTGGGTTCCATCCTCAGGGGACTTCAGCCCCTCTCTCCTGCGGATGAGTGGAGGGTGGCAGTGAGGGCGGCCCCAGGGCCAGAGCGGGACGGACCCATTCCTTTGTTCTAAGTGGAGGCTGCACCCTCCCCACCCCCAGGACCGTGGAGAAAGAAGGGGACTGATTGTGGATGGTTTGAGTCTGGCGCCAGGGTCTGGGCTGCTGGGCGACAGGCCTGAGCGTCCGGGGGGCCAACTGGGGCAGAGGCCATAGCCTTACCTGCCCCTGCATCCATGTTCCTCCTTCAGCCCTCTGCAGGCCCGCTCCTGGGCGTCCATGCGGGAGCATTGAGCCACACAGGGCCCAGCGTGTGCCCGGCCTCCCTTGCTGCTCTCTGCATGGAGCACTCACTGTCTGCCCAGTACTTCTGTACGTGTAGAGTCCTCCTCGAGACAGTCCTGTGAGGTAGAGCCTTTTCCTTCCTATGAGGAAACTGAGGCCCAGAGAAGTTAACAGAAGTCAAGGTGCAAACTTATTCAGGTCACCAAGTTCACGGGCCACAGACTCATCTTCAGAACTCAGTGGCCTGAGTGGCATCCTCCCTCCCCTGAAACACTGCCCCTGCCTCTGCTCTCTTCCCAGGTGGCATCGAAGGCTGGCATCTACGAGATCCTCAACGAGCTGGGATTCCCCGAGCTGGAGAGCGGGGAGGACCAGCCCTTCTCCAGGCTGCGCTACCGGTGGCAGGCGCAGAGCTGCAGCCTCGAGCCCTCCGCCCCCGAGGACTTGCTGTAGGGGGACCTACTCCCTGTCCCCCACCCATAGGGCCCCACGCGGGCCTGGGGTGTCTGAGGTGCTCTTGGCTGGGAGTGGCCCTGAGGGGTGCTGGTCTTGAGGAAATGATTCCCCTGCTTCCTAGAGAGACTGGGCGGAGTTGGGAGCCTTTTTAGAAAGAACTTTTTATAGGACAGGGAGACAGCACAGCCATCCCTTGCAAACCACCAAGGTGTGTGGCTGACCTCCAGGGAGCAGCACTCACTGGAGTGCTCACAAGGTGCACACTCTGCTGTGTGCACCTGCAAACAGGCTGGCGTTTGGCCTCCAAGGAGCTCACTCCCCCAGTTGCCAGACACTGTGGATCTCTTTGTCCTCCTCTCCCTGCTCTCAGATTGGCCTGGCAGCCCCTGGCACAGAGCAGACCCAGCCACTGGTAGCTCCCCACTTCCTTACTCCTGCTGCTCTGCCATTGCCGCTCCCCTTCTTGCTGCCCAAGCACTGCCCTCGGGCGTCTCGCAGCCTGAGGTGGGTGGAGGGGACAGTGTTCTGGATAGACCTATTATGTGAAAGGCAGCTTCACCCAGTTTTCTGGACTCTCATGCTCGCATCTCCAACCTGGGAGACTGCAGGAAGGACACCTACCTGGCCTGGTGGGGCTGGCAGGATGGTGGAGGTTTCTCAAGGAGCTGGAGACCTCGGGGAGCCCCTCTCGGGGAGGAAAGAGCTTCCAGGATGCGGACGCAGCACAGTGGAAGAGGCCTGCTCCACTTGCCTGGGAACCTGGGCAGGAGGCACAGAGGAAGCCACGGCCTGGAGCTGCAGGTCCCCCGGCACCTCTCCCTGTCCCAGCAGCCCAGGATGGCCTGGTGCCCCCACCTGCTGCAGCAGGAGCCCCAAGGAGTGCTGGCCAAGGGCGGTTGCTGGGGTGGTCCTCATGGACAGTGAGGTGTGCAGGGGTGCACTGAGGGTGGTGGGAGGGGATCACCTGGGTTCCAGGCTGTTCTTGCTGAGCATCTTTGAGCCTGCCTCCTGGTGGAAGCAGAAAAGGCCAGACCCTGCTGAGTTAGAGGCTGCTGGGATCCACTCTGTCCACACAGGGGGAGGGCTGCTGGGAGCAGGTGGTAGAGAAGTGCCATGTTTGAGTTGAGTCTTGCAGCTCTTCCAGCTGGGAACTGGTGCTTGCTGAAACCCAGGAGCTGAACAGTGAGGAGGCTGTCCACCTTGCTTGGCTCACTGGGACCAGGAAAGCCTGTCTTTGGTTAGGATCGTGTACTTCTGCGGGAAAAAAGGAAAAAAAAAAAAAAAAAAGGATGTGCCATTGGTCATGATGTTTGAAAAGAGGAGGAGGCCGAAGTTGTTCCCATTTACCCAGTATTGGAAAATATTTGACCCCCTTGGCTGAATTCTTTTGCAGAACTACTGTATGTCTGTTCACTACCTTTTCAGGTTTATTGTTTTTATTTTTGCATGAATTGAAAGTTTTAATTTCTTTGCAGACAAGGTCTAGATGCGGAGTCAGAGATGGGACTGAATGGGGAGGGATCATTTGTATTCTCATGGTTGGCTCTGACTTTCAGCTGAACTGGGACCACTGGCTGATCACATCACCTCTCTGCCTCAGTTTCCCCATATCTGTAAAATGGGAGAATAATACTTGCCTACCTACCTCACAGGGGTGTTGTGAGGATTCATTTGTGGTTTTTTTTTTTTTTTGTACAGAGCTTTTAAGCTTTAAAAACAGCTAAATGTGAGTGCACCTGGCTGCTAATGCGTCTCTAGTGTCAGACGTTCTGGAACTGGTACAACAGGCTGGGGTCCCTGCCCCTTCAGAGTAAGGGTGGGCGGGCAGAGTGGGTCAAGAGCACCTGCTCTTGGCACTTCCAGCTCTAGAGCGGTCGGGTTTTTGCAGACACGTGTTCCCAGTTATGCCTCACCCTCTTAAACTGGATGTCAGACTGAGCTCCTCCTTGAAGAAAGCAAAGGAACCGGTGAATTCTCGCTAATGTATGAAGGACTGCTGCATCTAGGGAAACGGTATAGAGCAAAGTGGAATTGGGGGCCTGTGAAGAAACGTGGATCTCAGCCTCCACTTTCTCCCCTAGCCCGTGTGGACCCCATTGGACCCCTTCGGGCGCCTGGTTGATTGAACACACCTCACCCCTGGTTGAATGCTGGCATTTAAAGAGGCAGTGGGGAGGGTGGGGTAGAGAGAGCACTGACTCCAGGCCTCTCCTCCGGCGCTTGCAGGGTTAGGGGAACAAGGTTGTAGTTCTGAGGTCAGCTGGGGGGAGGCAGAACGGAACCGAGAGCCCCCACCACCCCTAGGGTTGGTGCTCTCCTCAGACTAGGAGAGAAGGCCCCGGGGATTCGTCCCCAGCCCAGCAAGGTATGGAAGTTGTCTTCTCTGGGTCCTAGAATGCTCTGTGTGGCTTCCAGACACCAGTGTAGAGCTGTGTACACCGGAGTGGGGGAGGGTGGGAGTGGGGTGGCTCTGCAGTTCTCTCCCTGGGATGTGGGGAGGGGCTGGGTGGAGACACACAGGAGTGAGTGGGTGTGCCTGTGTGTGTCCCGAAGTTGCCCTGGGCCTGCTCTAGCCTGTGGGAGAGCGCTTAGCAATGACATGAGTGGCACTGACCCACATTTCAGTGGCTCCTGCTGGTCAGCATCGTCTCAGCCCTCTTGTTAAATGAGTGAACCCAGCCCAGCAAAGGAGCAATCAGCAGAGTTAGGGAGCCTGCCGAATGGGAGACGGCATTTGCAAACCATCCATCTGATAACGGGTTAATATCCCAAATCCAAAGGAAACCCAAACAATACAATAGTAAAAAAGTAACTCAAAAGAACACACATAAATGACCCACAGGCATGTGAAAGAAATGTTCAGTATCACTAATCACCAGGGAAAGGCCATTGGAAACCACCTCACACCTGTTAGGATGACTGTAGGAAAAGATGGAAGAGAAGTGTTGGCGAGGATGTGGAGACAGGTAACCCTCGCACCCTGTTGGTGGCATTGTCGGTTAGTACACACGGTCTGGAAGACACTGGGGGGGTTCCTCAGAAAACCAAAAATAGGACTATGTGTGATCCAGCCATCCCACTCCTGGGTACACATGCAAAGGAAATGGAATCTGTGTGTCAGAGGTGTCTGCACCCCATGTTCACTGCAGCGCTATTCACAGTAGCGAGACATTCGACCAGTGTGTCCATCAGTGGATGAATGGATAAAGAAAATGTGGTCTGTATACAATGGGACACTATTCTGCCTTTAAAAAGGAAATCCTGGCCAGGCGCGATGGCTCGCGCCTTTAATAATCCCAGCACTTCTGGAGGCCGAGGTGAGTGGATCACTTGAGGTCAGGAGTTCGAGAGCAACCTGCTCAATATGGTGAAACCCCGTCTCCAGTTAAAATACAAAAATTAGCCAGATGTGGCGAGCACCTGTAATCCCAGCTACTCAGGAGACTGAGGCAGGAGAATCGCTTGAACCCGGGAGGTGGAGGTTGCAGTGAGCTGAGATCGCGCCATTGCACTCCAGCCTGGGCCATGGAGCAAAACTCAGTCTCAAAAAAAGAAAGAAATCCTGTCATTTGTGACAACACGAGTGAACCTGGGGAACACTATCCTAAGTGAAATAAGCCAGGCACAAAAAGACAAATATCACATGATTCCATATGTGGAGTCTAAAAAAATCCAACTCAGAGTAAAATGGTGGCTATCAGAGGCTGGGGTGGAATGGGGTGAGGTTGGGGAGATGTTGGTCAAAGATCACATTTCAGTTAAGAGTAAGATCAAGGGATCTATTGTATATCATGTTTCCTACAGTTGATAACAGTGTTGTGTATTTGAAATTTGCTGAGAGTAGATTTTAAGTGTTCTCGTAACTTGGTAGCTATGTGTCACCAAATGATAAGTGTGAGGTAAGGCGCATGTTAAATATCCTGACTTAGCCACTTCACAATGTATATATATCACAAGACATCCTTTTATACACCATAAACATACACAACTTTTACTTATCAGCTCATTTTAAGAAAGTACCATGTAGTCTGATATTTCCTCTGTGTTAATCTAAACTAGCGATTTTTTCTTTTTTTTTTTCTTTTTTTCTTTTTTTTAAAGACGACGTCTTTTTCTGTCGCCCAGGCTGGAGTCCAGTGGCGCGATCTCGGCTCACTGCAACCTTCACCTCCTGGGTTCAAGCGATTCTCCTGCCTCAGCCGCCCAAGTAGCTGGGATTTTAGGCACGCACCACCACGCCCAGCTAATTTTTGTATTTTTAATAGAGACAAGGTTTCGCCATGTTGGCCAGACTGGTCTCAAACTCCTGAACTCAGGTGATCCACCTGCCTTGGCCTCCCAAAGTGCTGGGATTACAGGCATCAGCCACTGTGCCTGGCCACTAGTGATGTTTTGTTACATCCTTTGTTATGTCTCTTTCTTAAATACCAGTACATATTGCTGAATTATATAATAAAAAATGAATTAATACACATCTAACCTTTAGGACAGTGCCTGACAGTGCTTGTGAGTATACAATCAGTTTTAGTTGACTTTGCCCAGTCTCTCTCTCCAAGCCCTGTGAGTGCTCAGAAGGAGTCCCCCATTGACCTACACATGTGGTCACTGTCATGTGGCATCCTCACTGCTTCCAGGGTTTCAGACAACTCTGACCCCACCCCCATCCCCATTTCAGGTGCCCATGCTGGGCGGTGTCAAGTGGGACGAGACCTTGGGTCTGTGCCTACTTTCAACCAAGGATTTGCGCAGGTCCCTGGTTGAGCCTCCACCCTGTCTTCCCTGCTGCCCTGGTGGAGACCCGGTACCCCAGCTGGCAGCCTTGATATGCCTGGCTCCCACTCCCTTAAGACATGTTCTTTCCTGGAAGCCCCTCAATCTTCTGGGGGTCCTGTCACACCAGTTTGCCCAGACTAGGCGGGCATCAGCTGGGTCCACCCGGGACACACGCCCCTGAGCGTGGTGTTGAGTGCCCTTAGTGTTCTGTGTATAAGGGGACTTGTGCAAGGGGGAGGTCTGTGCATATGGGCTGTGGGCAGTGATGCAGCAGATCACTGCAAAATTGGGCATCTACACAAAGTAGGCACCATGCCAGGCACCATGGAGCTGTGGACAGGGACAGCCTGCCTTCCAGGAGCTGGTGGCATTGCAGGGACAAGAGAGAATGAACAAATCATTTTCGCCAGGTGTGAGAGCTAGGGCAGGGCAGGGTTTGGAGAACAGTGGCAGTGTGATAGGCCAGAACCAGCCAGGACCCCATGTCCCTCTCTTCCAGAGTTTCTAGAACAAGGAACCAGCAATGCTGTGGACCGAGGGGGAGCCGGGGGCCTTTGGTGTCGGGTGGGACCACCACACCCCAAAACCATATAGCACTGAAGGTCTGAGCTTTTCACAATCTCTGCACCTTCCCTCCCATCCTTTAGCCAGTCTTCAGATCTGGCCAGACCCTGAGAAGGGCCCATCCACAAAAGGCCTTTGGTTTCTCTACTTGTCACAAGAACTGGTTTTGGATGAACAGGAAGAATGAAGCTGCCCACCAGCCATCACCTGCCTGGTCCTTTCCTGTGGTGTTCAGTAAAGAAACCTCAAACTGTATCTGCAGAATTGGCACACATGTATTGTAACTGGTTTTCTCTTACAAAAAGCTGTTCATCTTTTATTCACCCAAGTACAGTGTAACCATCCACTAGTTGTGAAAATTCAGCCAGTATCTTTATCTCCCTCCCTGTTCTCACTCCTACTCCCTGGGCTCTGGTTTTAAAAGGTATCATTGTGACCCATGCAGCCCCGTGGGTGTTTGTTCCTTTCTCCTCTCTGTGCTGTCCCAGGCTGTGTGGCATCCCCGCCTGCTTCTCTGGCCACCTAATACTATGTGCTACACACACCCCTTCCTGCTCAGCCAGCAAGCGTGGTTTCAGCATCCATCCCCACAGTGAAGTAGTTCAAAAGAGCTTGGGTAAATCACACTGCCTCTCTGAGACACAATGTCCTCAACTGTAAGTGGGATTAAAATGCTTATTTTGGGCCAGATGTGGTGGCTCATGCCTGTAATCCCAGCACTTTGGGAGGCCGAGGTCGGTGAATCACCTAAGGTCAAGAGTTCAAGGCCAGCCTGGACAACATGGTGAAACCCTATCTCTACTAAAACTACAAAAATTAGCTGGGCATGGTGGTGGGTGCCTGTAATCCCTGCTTCTCAGGAGGTTGAGGCAGGAGAATCACTTGAACCTGGGAGGCAGAGGTTGCAGTGAGTGAAGATCATGCCACTGCACTCCAGCCTGGGAGACAGAGTGAGACTCCATCTCAAAAAAAAGAAAGAAAGAAGAAAGAGAGAGAGAGAGACAGAAAGAAAGAAAAGAAAGAAAAAGAAATAAAAAAAGAAAGAAAAAGAGAAAGAAAGAGAAAGAAAATGCTTATTTTGTAGGGTAAGCGGAAGGATCAGAGTTTATGGCTGTGAAGTTCCTATTGCTGAGCCTTACGCACAGCAGGTGCTCACTGCAGACATTATCTTGTTCTGTAGGGTATGTTATTAGGAGTCCTGGAGCAGAGGAGTCCATCTGAGGAGTATCTGAGTTAGTGGTATGGAAGTGACATTACTCATGACTGATGGCAGGGGTCAGGGGCAGAGGGCACCACTGGCTCTCAGAATGCAGCACCTCAGCTCAGCTGTCCTCTGGCATTAGAGGAGCCAGTAAGAGGGATGAAGGCATTTCTTAGTATTTCTTGGGGGAAGCCATG